CCTGCTGAAAGCCCCAGATGATATTTTTTTCTCTGGTGTTTTGTTTGCTGGAAAGTGGACTTTGTTTCTGTTTTAAAGACTCTTTCCTTGGAAGCTCCGGCTCGAATTAAGAATAAAGCTCCTCCTCTGGACTGGCCACAGGAAGGTGAAGTTGTTTTTGAAAATGCAGAGATGCGGTACCGAGAGAACCTCCCTCTAGTGCTGAAGAAAGTGTCCTTTACCATCAAACCAAAGGAAAAGATTGGCATTGTGGGACGGACGGGCTCAGGTGAGGAAAAATGCTTGGCAGCTAAATCACTGCCTTTACAGAATGAGTTAAGAGCTGGGCAGTTATAGTAGGGTTTTTTTTCTCTCTCTCTCTCTCTCTCTCTGAGTAACTGAAAGAATTGATTGAATTGATTCTTAACTACCCAGGAATGGTTCAGTACACTGCTATCAATGGATTCTGTTGTTGTGCATATGTGTGAACAGGATCTTCATAAGCAATAAGAAAAAAAAAAAGGGTTTAAATTCTTCTATTGTGCTAGTGTGCTTATGCTTAGCATCCAAAGCTGTTGATCTGCACAGAACACTATCTACAGAATGCTTATGACACCTTGGTTGACTTTCTGAAAGTTGTTTATACAGATGCTGTCAGCTGCATGTGACTCTAAGATGTCTTACAAAGCTATAATGTAAAGAATCAAAAAAAAAAAACTTAGAAGGTGAGATGGTTTAAACCAGGTGCAAATTGGAATTGCTAAATGAGCAATTAATATGGCTTAGAAGTCTAAATGCTGAACCCCTTTCCTATCTGGATTACTTACCAGCATTGTTTGCCATCGACTTTATGATATTTTTAAATCCTTCTAATGTTTCTTACCCCAATACTTTTAAAATGCAGTCTCATCTCTGCTGGCTACTATGACTAAAACCTTTTTTTCTCTCTTGTTTTTAGGGAAATCTTCTCTTGGAATGGCACTCTTTCGTCTGGTTGAACTGTCTGGAGGGTGCATTAAAATTGATGGAGTGAAAATAAATGACATTGGTTTAGCAGATCTTCGCAGCAAACTCTCAATAATTCCTCAGGAACCTGTGCTGTTCAGTGGTACTGTGAGGTTAGTGAGATCATAAAATAACACAAAGGACAAAGACGGCTATCAGCTCATACTGAATTCAAATAGTTGCCTGGTGAGATGTGTTAGTCTGGGCATAGAATCTGGGTATTCAAGGGCTGTCTGCATCTCTTCTCCATTTTTGACACAAAAAAATAAAGCAGGTATATGGTTTAGTTGGCCCAAGGCAGAACTGGGTGTGATATTCCTCTAAGGAACCTTTGCCTTTCCTTTAAGCTTGCTTGATATTTTTGCATCTATGCTATTACATTTCTCTGTTGTTTGCCTGCTTTAATCCTACTGTACTGGGAGAGCTGATTTCCTTGACAAGGAAATTCTGTTGGGGAGGACTAGATATGAGCTATCCACATGGGCACACAGACGCTGCAGTTCCGTTATTCATTGCTGAAGCAGTTCAAATTCTGGTTATGCTTTCTTCTTTCCCCTCTAGGTCAAACTTAGATCCTTTCAATCAATATAGTGAGGAACAAATCTGGGATGCTTTGGAAAGGACTCACATGAAGGAGTGTGTAAGTATGATGGGTCCTGTGAGACAAGTTTGTTTTGGCTTTCAAACATATATTTTCCATTGATAGCTGCTTTCAGGGACATTCAGATAAAGTTATTTGTGCTTTTTTTTTTCTCTAACTGGTTATGCTTAATTTTCTAATAATGCAATTGTGAACTTTTTGGAGAAAGTACTGTATTTTGGATGTTTACTTTAGTATCTAGTGCAGCAGGGTGTTGCTTTATCACAGGGACTCCTAAGGAGTGATGTTTTTCTGGATGTGTAGGTAGTCAGACACCTGCAACTATTTGTCTCATGCTGTGGAGATCCAGCAAACCCACGCAATACTCTAAGTTTCTCCCCTCTGCTTTTCACACAGGTTGCCCAGCTGCACATGAAACTTGAATCAGAAGTGATGGAAAATGGGGAAAACTTTTCAGTCGGGGAGAGACAGCTACTGTGCATAGCTAGAGCTCTGCTGCGTCGCTGCAAGGTGAGTGTATGGATGGAAGAAGTAGCTGGTGATATCAGATGAACAGCACTGAGCAAAGCCTGTTTCCTGTGCTGAATTCATTCCATCAGAGGAATCACACCAACAGCACAGCTAAGAGAAGAGTGTTGGGTTTAGAAGAAGTAGGAAGGTGTTGGTAGCCATCTACCAGGTGCTGCAATGTCCTGCTGTCAGAAATGCATTGCTTGTTAGTGTTCATAATTGTGTGTCAGACAGGCCTAGTGATTTAGCTGTAGTGTTTGTCCTGATACAGATGACCATGGGAATCTTCTCTTCTACCTTTTGCAGGTGTAAGCCAAGCACTTTCCTTCTGCTTGGTGTTTCTCTAAAATGCAATTTCCAAGCAGAATTTGGGACCACTCTGTGCCAGTGAAGTTGGAGAGGTCTTTATTGTTCAGGAATGGAAGTCAGATAATAGCTTCAGTGAAAAGGGACCTTTAGTTGGACTGAAACTTGTCAGGACTTTCAATTCTTTTCTCTTAAGAATGTATCCCATAATATTTCAAGATTTTCTCTGCATCTGATTTAAAGAAGGATATAAAAAATATCCTTTTGGGGCAAGCCAGGCTGCTTATTAGGAGTTAGTTTTAATCTGTCTGTAGTAGGTGCCCGAAACAAATCTAGTATAGCTTCGACAACACCACTAAAACTTCATCAAGACAATCCTCTAAACCGATGTAGATCTGAGATGGAGAGGAAAGTTAACCTGGACTTCAAGGTTAGAAGGCCCTGATTAGACATGCCTTATGGCTGCAGTGTGTGGCTGTAAAATGCACATCCATAGGGGATCCATAGGGGATAACTTTGTGGATGACAACTACATCCTACATAAGGAAAATCTAAAAGGATGCATTATGAAAACTGCCTTTTTGACTGCAGAATGTGTAAGGGTTGCCAGCTATGGCAACTCTTGGATAATTCTGCCTACTCTGCATATTTTTATGTTCAGGGAGGGAAAGGGCTCCTGTGGAGTAACAAACAGGATTGTGTGTTGCTTTCAGATTTTGATACTGGATGAAGCTACAGCTGCTATGGACACAGAGACCGATTTACTCATCCAGGAAACCATCAGAGAGGCATTTGCAGACTGTACTATGCTAACAATCGCTCACCGCCTGCACACCGTGCTGGGCTCCGATCGGATCATGGTGCTAACACAAGGACAGGTGAGTGGACAAACCTTGTGGCTGCAGTTCCTGGTGCTCTCTCTGGTGGTGCCATATATTGTAAGCTGAGCTAAAAGAACAGCCCGTATTGTGCTGTAGAAAATGCAGTATGTTCATTCCCGCTCTTGGCAATACTTCTCCATCAAAGTCGGTGATTATCTCATTATGACAAGCTCAAGGAGGGCAAAATTTGATTTACACTACAGAAAAGTACTTTTGAGGATCAGTCTCATTTAAACAGTTTTAAAGACCCAGTGGGTACATTAATGTAAGCATCTCTGCTATGGCCGAGTGATTTATTTATTTTATTTCTTCCAGTTATTTTTGTGAAGTATGTCTATCAAACAGGCATATGAGAGGTACATCTCCCCCTTTTCAGGCTTCCATGTGGGGCCTTTAAACAGTTAAGTGTAAGAAATTTGGCAAGCCTCTTGGGGCAGAGAGGGAAAAGACCGTAGCATCTGCCTCAGTCTGTTTGCCAGAGGCACTGAGGGCTGTTTCCTCCTGGGTAGTCCCAGTGTTTTTCTGATCTAGTTTGAAGCATCCCAGGTACAGTGCGTATGCATAAACACACACTTTTACTGCCTGATATCTCATCTAAGCAAGACTTTGTCACAGGAAGCATTTTTTTTTTTTAAACAGTCTCAGTGTTCTGGATGTCCCTCATTCTTGGCAATTATGGCCTGAGCTTTCTTGATTGCTTATTGCTGTTTGTATTCTACAGGCATGCAGTGATTTACCAGGCTGTAATGAGGAGACACAAATTTATGCGTGCATCCTAAATTAATAGGAAACTAGGAACATCAATCCTTTTTCATGTTGTAGTTGATGCTGGGAGCCAGTCAGGAGCCATCTTCATTTTTCCAAGGAATTGAATTATTTACTAATGAGGGAGTGTAACTTCTCTTAATTATCCCCATGTGTATTTGTAGATTGACACAGTGCTATTTAAGTAGAACATATTTATTTTAAATTAGAAAAATTCTTGGTATGCTAATAAAATTACAAGACAACCAAAGCAGATTGCTTGTTCCCCCAAAACAGCATAGCTCTCCAGGACAAAAGTCTATTACAGTTTGAAGCTGGACTCTAAACATGCTTAGGATACTACCCACTATATTTTGGCTTCTCTACTGCAATGTCATAAGTTCAAAGATGGGAACCCACTTTCTGCTGGGTTTTACTAATGAACTTTACCTGTCTTGTTTGCTTTTAGGTTGTGGAATTCGACACGCCATCCGCCCTGCTGGCCAACGAGAACTCGCGCTTCTACGCTATGTTTGCTGCTGCGGAGAACAAGGTTGCTGTCAAGGGCTAAAATTCAGGGCAAAGTCACTTTTATTTTGGAGGGCTCCACTCCCTGCCTGTGGCAGGCCAGCTCTTCTTACTCTTTCTCCTCCAAGCAGATTATTGCCTTTTCATGTTTTAATTTTTAGCACAGTGTGTCAAAGCCAGAGAGTTTTTAAAACCCTGTTAGAAGAATTCTTCATGGTTTTATTACTGTATTTATTCCATAATCATATTACTAATTTTTTTTGTTATTAAATGCACTCTACAAATGGCTCAGGGAGCCATAGTTATAAATGTATCAGAGGCCTATAATGAAGCTTTATACGTGTAGCTATATCTATACATAATTCTGTATATAGCCTATATTTACAGTGGAAATGTAAGCTGTTTATTTTATATTAAAATAAGCACTGTATTAATAACAGTGCATATTCTTTTCTATCATTTTTGTACAGTTTACGGTACCAGAGGTCTGGCTTTGTTATCAAACTGTATCAGACACTATTTTGTCTCTTACAGTTGGTCTTTTCCTAGTGCCAGATTTTCTGTGTGTCTGAGTGGAAGTGAAGCTTTGCAATAGTGTCTTTTATTGTCCCATCATTGTTGTCTAGCGCAGAGGAGAAGAGCTCTGTGGTGTAACTCTATTGCATTGTAATTTATCAAAGCTAGCTGGAGCATTGCTAATGTTCACCTTGGCAGCAGCTGCCGCCGCCCATGATGCTTTCCCAAAGCAGGGTTTTGGTGATCTCTTCAGTGATTTGGGGGAGAGAACCACTTTTGGGTCATGTTAAGGCCTCATTTTCTCAGTGTCCTGATACAGTATTTCTTACTGTATCAGCAGGGTTTGTTTTAATACAAGATAACCCTTTAATACCAGAGCAAGCGCTTCCTGCTTTGCTGATCTGACATGCGGCCAGAATCTAAATGCTCATGGAATGATCTATAACAAATTAATTATAAAGTCAAATCCTACCCTGTATGCTAGCAGGAAAGGCTTTCCAGAGTTGCTCCAGCTGACTGCCTCCTTATCTTAAATCTGCTAATGCTCCTCAGAGGTTTAGGTTGGCTTTCATTGGCATGGGTGACACTAACCTGTTTTTCTGCTCACTTATACTAAGGTTAAATTGCATCAATATTTCCTGTTTCTTTATTGCACACTTGTTAAGGAAACAGTCCCCATCCCAAGTCTTCGGGAACCTTAAACAGGTTCTTACTGATCAGGATGTAACACTGGTGTAGGACATTGTTTTCTTACTGTAAAGAGACCTACCTCAGGGTACTGGGTCCTGTGTAGTCCATTGCCATGAATCACTGTTCACCATCCCTGTTCCGTGGGACCTGTGGCCCAGGGGGGCCCGGTCACTACTATAATAGCTGTGACTTATTGAATGGTCAGCGTTGCATGTCTTTGTCAACTTGGACATTTTGTAGCCTTAGCATGTTTGCAAAATGTCTCGTCGAGGCAAAAATCTGAAAGGTAAATAAAACTATTTTGGGTTTTGTAAATTTTATTGGCTTGTTTATTTTGGGCACATAAATCACTTCTCACCTTTCTGAACCTGGAGGGGACAGTTTTTGCAGGCTGGGTCTTTTCCTTGTCTATGTACTCGGAGTTTAATTTTTTCTTCAGAGTAGACATATTGTTTTTAAAATATTGTGGGTTATTTCTGTGCTCTCCAAAATTAGGGTGAGTTGCAATATATGTGTGCTTAAGTGTTTGGTAGAACATGCAGTAACAGTTCACAGTGCAGGAACTCAAGCCAAGTAGCAAGAGGACGGTCAGATGGAGTGAAGAAGGTCCTCTTTAGGCCCAGGTTTTTCCACTTTCTTTTTTTAGGGAGTTACTCTTCATGTAATGTATGTATATGTATGTATACGACACTTCTGAAAACTCACAGAAACAAGTGTAATATGGGAGATACTGAGGAGAAAGAACCTTTTGTACCTACTAATACCCCAGGCACATGAAGACGTTAACAGAGCTGGGGCTGTGGCTTGAAGATAGCAGCTCATGAAGCATCGCTTGTTTGTAGTTATCTTTTGTTCACCTTGTGCCAAGGAAGAACTAACCAGCATAAATCTTATCTTGCTTGTGGACCTGGCACCAAATTTATTGTGTGTGTCAGGGACCACACACAAGGGACCGGCCACAGTTCTTGTCAATGTTGCTCAATTCAAGGAGCAGAATGACTGTGTATTGCAGATAGGAAAGGGACAAGTAATAGTCTGTCTGCAAAGAATACCCAGCTATAGGAAACTTGCTGTTTGAATAAGAACTCGAGGACAATAAAGATGGAAGATGAGTGATGAGGTGGGAGAAGGCCTGAGGGAGCAGGGGTGATAGCCAAAGAGATGGAGTCCTGCTTCTTCCCTAAAGACTGAATACCCCAAGCAGAGGAGGAGAACGTGAGGTGTCTTTGCCTTGGTCTGAAGTTAAAAAGTTCAGTTGTCATCAGCAGCTGTGCCAAGGACGAGATTGTTTTGGGCTCTGCAGAACTGAGGTCATAAACTTCAATAAACTTCCCTAGAAAAAGAAAGGGGATAAAATGTTATTGCTCAAGTGCTGCTGTGGTTAGAGGGTGGCAGGAATGCTGCACAAAGAAGGGGACAGGAAAAGCACATCTGGAGGGCAGAAGTGGGGCTACTCTGTCCAGTAGGTGCTAGCTCTAACACTGGCATAGCCGTGACATGAAACTCTGCTCGGGATTCAGTGCGCCAAATTGCTGCTTCCCGGTTGCACTCTCCCCAAGAAAGGGAACGGTTTTCTCCTGGTTCAGCAAGCTGAAATGGCTCAAGATGATGTCAAACGAGTGCTGGAGATGAAGCAAGCAAATGGTCCCCTGTGGGCAGCATGGATTAGCTCAACCATTTCATAAACTTCAGCCTCAGCACTGTTGCTTTGGCTGTAAGGAGATAGCTTGCCAGAGGAAAACGTTCTGTATGGTGTGATCTCTAACCTGCTTTAGCACTTCCCTCACATGGATGGTACAGAAGTATCGTTTCTCACAAGGTGGCGGTTATTTTTTTACTGACTTTTTGTCCTGAGTCTTGGGAGTAAACTGAGGCCTGGCCCAGGGCCCTGCGATTGAAGTGGAAGTAAGAAACCAATATTTACAATGAGACTGAAATATGTTTATCTTTGAAGTATTCTACAAAGGGGTGATGATTATGGGAACTATCAGGAATCGGATCCTGCTTTAGGATTTATCGCATGGTGCCCAGTAGAAGATTTTATCCTGCAAGGCACAGAATGATACTGTAGGATCAGGTCAGGGCATTTCCTTGATGAGATCCTGCCCAAAATAGCATCATTCTGAGTATGCAGCAAAAGACACAGACCAAGACCAGCGGACGTGCAGCTTGAGAGGGATATATGCGGTACTGCTCCTGCCCTGGGGAATTTAGTTGCATCGGTTTTGCTTATTCTGCTCACTTGCAGTGAGTGCAACTGATCCTGATTTGTTGCCATAAGCTTAGAAGTTCTTTATTTAAAAAGACTGTATTCCTGCTCCACTCATTTATTTCATGAGTGGAAACATTGTACTTGCTTGGGACTTCAGTCAAAATGCCAGTAGGATTCTTCTAAAATTAACTACACTAGGTAATTTTGCTGATCTAAATGCACAGTAAATCCAAAGTTGAACCTTGAAGTTGTGCTGATTCGAACACCTGAGGGACTTCACCTTTTCCTGTGGTGAAGATCCACAGGGCGAGGTCCAAAGGGCCCAGGGTTCTGCACATTATCCCCGGATGAAGCCCACAGGGAGGGCGAGTGGTTTGCTGCCTGGCTGGGAGCAATAGCTGGGACAAGTGCAGCTATTTCAGAGAGTGAATGGATACAACTGCGATCTGAGGAACGGGTATTGGGAGGGAAGGAGAAAGGGAAAGACCTGGATTTATAACAGGAGGATGTGGAAGAAAAGATGGTAGAATAGAAAATTCTTACTGGGTAGAAGGGGATGGAATGAGGAGACCAAATTACTTCTTGAAGATGCTTCAAAAGAGCAGAGTGAGATGATGCAGGATGATTACAAAACCATTATCAGCTGTATCACCATGAATGAAATTTCCTTGTACCAGGTCATTTTTTAGTGCAACCGCAGCACAGGTTCTCCTACAAGCAATCACACAAAGTCCCAGCTTCAGGTTGGTTTAAGTTAATACAGTTTAGTCCTTGTTTTGCCTTTGGGTTCAGCTGGAGTCAGGAGCTGCCTTGTCCTGGTGCTACAGTTTCCACCTTGAGCTTGATGATACTAGTGGAAACTCAACTGGAAAATGCTGCAGATGCTGCTGTCGCAGGCACTACGCTCGAGAAGCTTTTTGAATGTATTGCTGCAGGTTCAATAAACCCGCAACCAACACGTTGTTGTTCCTGTGTCACCCCAAGGCTCTGCCTCGGCCACTCGCCACATGCCCGAAGCAGGGCTGAGCGCTGCACTGAATGGCTGCCTGACAGAAGCACCAGCGCAGGGTGTTGTGATCTCCTGTCCGCCGTCCTGGGGCTGCGTCACACGTAGTTCCCGCAAACCCCCTTCCTTCCAGATTACTGTCACCTTGTGTTACAACCCAGCGAAACAGGCAGCCGTACGAAGCTAGTAGTGTTGCGGTTTCTGTATTTTCCGATCTGGGAAGGCAGCCGGGGATGAATCTGATTCCCTGTAAGAGGAGAGGAGGAGGGTTGGGAGAAGTGCGGTACCTCTGAGCCAAGCTGCACCCGGTGTGTGTGTGTGCATCCAGTGCGATACCCGGTGTATGTGTGTGTGGGTACCCCAGTGGGTGCAGCAGTGGCTGTGCATGCAGTGGGTGTGCGCGCACACACACACACACACACACACACACACACACACGGTGCAGCAGTGGGAGGGTGTCAGGAAGGGGGGATGGAGGTGCTGCCTCTAGGGAGGATTCCCAGCTGGGTGTGAGGCAGCTGAGCAGAGCATGAGGGCAGGAGGAGAAGGGAGAGCCTGGGGCTGGGGCATTGTGTGTGAGGGCTGCACGGAGGGCACAGAGAGGGCTGTGTGGTGGTGCCCCAGTGGGGCTGGGAACAGAGCAGCACTTGTGGGTGATGGGGGTACACAGAGGTGTTGGTGTGGATGTGTGTGTGCCAGGAGGGGAATGTGTGTGTGTGGGGTCTGTAGGGCTGTGCTGAGGTGCATGTCTGAGCTGATGCCAGCCCTGCTCCAGGTGGAGGGCGCCGAGCCCCACGTGTGCCTGTGGCAGAGGCGTGTGCGCAGGGCAATGCCCTGGCTGGATGTGACTGCAGAGAGTGGGAGGGGATGCACAAGATGCACAAGAACCGCAGCCACCCCTAGGTACGTGTGCACGGGGCAGGCAGGCTGCAGCACGGTGTGCGCAGGGTGCGCACCAGGCCTGGGTGTGCGCACAGCCGCTGTAGCACTGGGTGTGCTGGCAGCACACCTGGCCTGGGTGTGTACGCAGTGGGTGCAGCAGGGGCTGTGCATGCAGCGAGTGCAGTGCTGGGTGCACACACTGGGTGTGCACACACCGGGTACAGCAGTGGGTGCATGCACTGGGTAGCCCACTGGGTCTGCGCACAGCGGGTACGGCAGTGGCTGCACATGCAGTGGGTGCGCACACACACTGGGTGCAGCACTGGGTGCGCACATGCAC